AAAAAAACATTGTTGGTCGTTTAATGTTCGCAAAAAGGCACTTGGACACTCCACAGAAGTTTTGGCAAAATATTTTGTGGACTGATGAAACCAACGTTGAATTGTTTGGGAGGAACACACAACGTCATGTGTGGAGGTAAACACCAACATAACACCAACATAAACACCTCATCCCCACCGTGAAGCATGGTGGAGGGTGCATCATGGTTTGGGGCTGTTTTGCTGCCTCAGGGCCTGGACAACTTGCAATCATTAATGGAAAAATGAATTCAAAAGTTTATCAGGATGTTTTGCAGGAAAACCGGAGGCCGTCTGTCAGACAGCTGAAGCTAAAAAGAGGATGGATGCTGCAACAAGACAATGATCCAAAACACAGAAGTAAATCAACTTCAGAATGGTTTCAGAAGAACAAAATACACGTTCTGGAGTGGCCAAGTCAAAGTCCAGACTTGAACCCCATTGAGATGCTGTGGCATGACCTCAAGACAGCGATTCATGCCAAACATCCCAGGAATCTGACTGAACTACAGCAGTTTTGTAAAGAAGAATGGGCCAAGATTAGTCCTGATCGATGTGCCAGACTGATCTGCAGCTACAGGAAGCGTCTGGTTGAAGTTATTGCTGCCAAAGGGGGGGGGCACAAAATATTAAATGTGATGGTTCATTTACTTATTCCTCCCCCTTCTGTCATTGTTTGCATGCTATCCTCATTAAAATATGAAAACCTATAAATGTTTGGGTGGTTTTAGTTAAAGCAGACACTGTTTTTTCATCTGTGTGATTTTGACAAAGATCAGATCACATTTGATGGTGATTTTATGCAGAAATGTGACAAATTCCAAAAGGTTCAGATACTTTTTCATACCACTGTATGTTATCTGTGGAATTCTGTGAGCTAGAGCTTTGGACTTACTTAAAGGAAAGGTTTCCATTTTCTTTCTAATATGTGCAGTCAGTGTGAACTCAAACTGCTGCAAGCATTATCTAAAGATCTTGTATAGCAAAATATACATAATATCAAACTAAACGCAATCAAAAAGTGTATAAACAGCAAAGAAAAAGTGTGTGTGAAACAGTGAAGAATTTAAGAAAACTGGATGGAATGGTGCCTTCACCTTGTTTGTTTTTTTTTCAATGAGATGCTAAAGTGATGGTGCATACATAGATGAGGTGAATCTGGACACATCACAGGCAGTGTCACAGATAAACGGATGTCATGTGACTGCTGCTCCACGTTTCCATGAATTTATCCCAGGCTGGTGATGTTGGCTTTTCCACCAGGGGGAGCCACAATGCGTTGGGTGTTGCGTCGAGGGACATTGTCATCAATTTGAGCTCCTGGGAAAAACAGAAAAATGGTTCCATCCATTCCATGTTACATGCCATGTGGCATCATACTGTGATGTAGAACAAATGGAAAGACAAGGCGACCAACCTAAAATAACATTTTTCTTATTTTAATCATTCAACAACAAACTTTTAAGGGGGAAAAAAATGGGTAATACCAGCATCCATTACTGACCGGAACCATCATTGGTGAAAAAAAATATTCTGTTTGTTTGCACTCACCAGAAAGACTGAAACCAGACTGGTGGAGGTTGCGAACAGGCTGAGAAGTAATTTGCTGCTGCTGCTGCTGGGTCTTCGCAGGAGACGTCTTCACCGAGGACACAGTGGACATCATCTTAGGAGTCACCGTGACCTCACACACCGGCCCGTCATACTGACCCCGGGGAACTCCTTGCAGCTCTGTGAGCTAAACATTTTTTGAGTTGAACAGCCACCAAGTTAGGTTTAAACTGGTTACAGCAAAGAACAAAACACACGACACTGAAGAACAATTTATTTTTTAAGATGAATACACATAAATTACTTTCAGCTTGTTCCTTTATCAAAGTTACAACAGGACCCGCAACCCCCAAGAATTGGTGATCACATGGAGGCTAACCCAGAGTCACTGATCTTTCCACCTTATCCCCCTGTAGCAGCATATAAACCAGTAATGTTAATTCTTTCATTTGTACTCACCCTGCTGCGAGCCCTGATCCTCTTGTAAACGTGGTCTGGAAAAGGTTTGCGGCTGATGTAACGACCCCCACCCTCACTGGTGTGGAGAATGCCATCCTCGAAAACAATTTTACCCTGACTGATAACCACAGATGGAGCTCCACGCACTTCTGTGCCCTCAAAAATGTTAATCTCCACTGCCTGAGAGGAGGAGAAGGAGGAAGGTTTAACTGAGGGACAACAATTTAACTAATGATGTGGGTTAGTGTTTTATATTCTACAGCCAGAGTAAGGGGGGCTTTATAACCATCTGACCAGGTTATGGGTCTTGGCTGAAATGATCTTAGTGACGTCCGGGTCCCACAACACCAGGTCCGCGTCAGAGCCGACAGCGATGCGGCCTTTACGTGGGTAAAGGTTTAAGATCTTGGCTGCGTTGGTGCTGGTCACTGCCACAAACTGGTTCTCATCCATTTTTCCAGTCACCTTCAGGAATAAAGACATGAAAAAAAGGTAATTCTCTCTTCAGCAGCTCAGAGGAATGTTTGGGTTGCCAGTTCCATAGTGTAGCTGTTAGCACGCCTGCCTTGGAAGCAGAGAGCACAGAGAATCTTAGCATCTTAAACTCTGCCACCTATTCTTCACCTCTCTTCCACAGTCTCCTCTGCTCTGAACAGTTGATCCTAAGTACCTAAACTCCTGCACCTTCACCACCTCTGCTCCTTGTAGCCTCACTATTTCACTGTTCTGCCTTTCGTTTACACACATGTACTCTGTCTTGCTGCGACTGACCTTCATTCCTCTTCTTTCTAGTGCAAACCTCCACCTCTCTAG